GGGCCAGCAGCCCCGGAAACCGGATACCCTGGAACCCCCCGAACCACCACTCCTCACGCACCCATCATACACATTCGTCGACCAACCATATTTGAGAGGATATTTCGAGCCAAGTTGCCGCCAGACGGGAGAGATTGAGCCAAGTTGCCACCAGACGAGCATATTGCTCGAGTTCCCTAGTTTCCAACATACGGGAAAGGGAGGGACACATCGAACCAACACGGCAGGGATTGGGCACGGAGCAAGCACTGGAAACACTGGGGCAACTGAATTAACACGGGATGCTTAACTTATGCCTTTCTTTTTATGCGCCCTAGCAAGGCGAGCAGGGTGCGTGGGGCACTGATTTATTTTATTGATTTGATAGATTAGGAATCTAGTTGGACGAGCTGCATGATTAGGATTCAGCTAACCGATCGATGAGGAGAGTTGGAGGAGGATGATTAGGATTCTGCCAACCGATTGATTGATTGATTTCAGTGAGTGAGTGAGTTAGTGATTTGAGTTGATTGATTAGTCTGCTGCTTTCCCAACCCCATGCCACTTGCCCTGGGGACAACCCAGGAAGAAGGGGTTTACAGAATGATTGATTGACCCCGGTACCCTAGCGATCCACCGAACGAGAGAGAGAAGGCCCCTTTCAATCCATACCCGACAGAGAGGCCATACCCCTGCACGAAAGACACTTACCGATACGAAACACTGGTTCCTACAGCACCAGCACATAGAGCACCTGACATAGCAGCCAGGCACAATAAGCACCTGACATAGCCATACTGCCATACATAGACAGATAGCATAGACATATAGCATATCGATAATAGCGTATAAAATAAAGTTTATAAAGTATACGCGCACAGTGAACCTGCCTGGGCATATCACACACCAATGGTAGGCACCCATTTGGTTGGTTGGATGGAAAATAATGAAAAATAAAAATTATCATTTTCTTTTTTTTTTTATTCTTGAATAAACTACGGTTGAGGGGGGACAAGGCAAGAGAATTCTCATTGGGGCACTGAAAGTGAGGGTTTTATTGAGGAAGAATGCCATTTCAACGCGTCTCCCTAGGGTAGGAAGGATGCCATCGATTGCTTTCGCCACCCAAGGGCTTCACGAATTGAACCGAAGCTGCTCGAGTGGATGCTAGAACCCGAGGCTGGTTGCATCACCCTTGGCTTGCTGCTTGCTGG